TATGTATATTTATATAGTTATTATTTATTTTAAGTTATTGAAGAAATAACTATATATTTTTTGAATTCCTCTATTTGAGTCTATTATATAGTATTATAGTCTATTATATTGTACATCTGATGTACAACAATGAGGGTGTGTTATTTTAAGTTATTATTTTATCTGTTTGAATATTATGAATAATGAAGTATAATATAAATACATATTATTATTTATTAAGTATATTATATTACATCGTCATTACGTTTTTATACATATATTTTTTGTCATTTTAGGTATATATTATTTAAGCCTTGGTAACGTAAATTAAATAAATAACATTTTAATTTAACTATAAAAATGAATTCCAAGAACAATAAATTGAATTTTATGCATTTAGGCAAGAGTTTAGAGTTTTCACTATACCCATCTTTGGTCCGCGTGCTTAGTGAGGCCCACAAGGCGAATGCTATAAGTTATAATCATAAGTTTCAAAAAATTTTCATTGGTAGACTAGCCGAAGATCTATGGTATAATAATCCGTTGTATCCAGAACGCGTTAGGACACCGGTTTGTAGTATGCCATTTGCTTTGGTTGATAATGACTTGTCACGAACTTGGGGTATATCACGAGATCAAGCGGCTACTATTATACAGGTATACACATTATATGTATATTCAGTTTTTAGATTATAAGACTTAAACTAAAATTTTCACTAAGGAGATTTAATCTCCTTATAATATACCTAATTTTCTAATCGTTTACTAACGTTTTCTAAGAAATTCAGAGTTTGTAAAAAACTAATAAACTAATACGAACATATTTAAAATTAGTTGTATTTAAATGAACGTATATCTAAAAATATTTTTTTTTTCTATAAATAAATATTATTTATACTAGATTTTTGACTAATTTTTATTAGACATATTTTTAGAAAAATAAATAATAAGATAAACATTTTAGGCATAATAAACGTTAAATATATTATAATATAGGTAACACAAAATACAAAAAAATATTTGTATAATAATAGTCAGGAGTTAAAATAAATTATAGTAATTAAACAAATCTACGTAGTATTATATCAGAGAACATTTGGTTTGTTTCGAACTAAATAATATTGTCCTGGAATATTTATACTTGTATGTTTGCCAAAAGTGAATTATTACAAAATGAAAAATAATAAACAAATTTATAAACAATACGCCATCAATAAATAGCACTTTTTAATTATATTATATTATTTTTTTTTKATGTATAGTGTATACAATTGAACAATTTTCGAATTCATTTTTCATTTTTCCTCTAAAGAAAAATTTATCAAAAGAATGATAAACTGTTTTTTCAGTCAGCGTATCGTGCACACATAGTCCGGATACAGCCTGACGTGGCGGAAATGAGGGCTTTCTGGCGAGCTTTGACGACCAAAGGCCACAAGTAGACGTGTTGAAGTAGTAGCTTTTGCCTTTTGTCAACTGCTCCAATCAAAAAGAATGAACTTAAGTGTGAAATTTTTTTGGCTATTATAATGTTTTGTACACATAATGTAACAATGTTCTCGATTTTTCGAATCATTACCGTTGACACGCTAGTAGAATATCTCCCATTGCTATAATACGAAAAATATTATCATTTTTTTTTTGTTTAAAGTTTTTACTGATTCTCCTTTTCGACTTAACATATAGTTTCCCCTTTCAGATATCATGTTGACCTTTTATTTCCATTCACTAAGCTAGCAATAGGCTTACAACAATAACGGTCGCTTGGGACCTCTAAGGTATATATAATTTCACAAGGACAGTATAGATGATTCGTTATAATATACTTATTGACCATAGAGTTTAATATAGCATATTATAAAACATAATGCAATTAAGTAATTGTATACTAAAAACGTACAATAGTAAAAAGTATAAGTAAAAATATTTTAAAAACTTAGAAATAACATATGTAATGATTCATGATATC